ACTGGTTCGGGTGGTGCAGTCAGGAGGTCCCCACTGTGCAGGGAATCCAGGTGAAAGCAGGTTTGGAGGAGGGAGTCAGTTGAGGACTGGGTGAGTGTGGGAGCCCGAAGCACACTGGGGGAGCCTGAAATTGGAAGGCTGCCAGAGCTGAGGCACAGCAGAGGGGGTCCCTCCCTCCCCCTGACAGCTGCAAGGTGCATCAGAGCTCCCTGGTGGGGGGGTGGGAGCTCGTGCAACGCAGACTTCACTTTGCCGCCCTCCTGGTTAAGGGGTCCGGGATAGGTTTTTGGCATCACTTGGGATTTGTAAATGCCTGAGCCCCTCTCCATGGGGGTGGGGCGGGCGGATTGCAGAGGGATAGGATTGGAACTCTCTAGGACTGTCTCAAGTACAGGACCCTGGCCAGCTGAGTGGGGTGGGAGTAGGGATTACTCAGGGTGGGCCCCTTCCCAGGTAGTCCCATCCATCGGGCCCAAGTGCTCGCCAAGGGAGTGAGGACAGTGTCAGTTTTCAGGGGTGTGTCTCCATGTGCATCTCTAAGTATGCTTCTGTCTGGTTACAGTTGTGTGAACTCAAACACGTGCAACTGTGTGCTACACCGGGTCATGTTCATGTATGCTGGGGTTTAGGTCTGTACAGGACTATGTTGATGTGGGTGCACTTGGCTCTGACCCATGCGTGCATAGGAATCCAGGGCGGGCGTGGGGGGTGGGTTTCCTTGCATGTGGGCCTGTTCTATGTAGGTGCATAACCCCTGTGTATGCCTCCATGGGTACAGGTGTGGACAACAAGTGTGTGTCACCAAGTGTACTCGCCTTTGTCCACGGGCATGCACCGACTTGGGTGCTCAGAGGTGATGACTCCACAGGAGAATGCCGCTGTGTAGGGGAGCATCGGGGACGAGGCTGGGCCACGGTGTGTTTGGGGGGAGATGGGGCGGCACACAGAGGGCGGGGACTCCCCTGCCACGCCCCCACCCCGGCCCCCTCTCCGCCAGCAGCGCCGCTAGCGGCAGCCTTGCTGGGCACACTTGCTGAGCCTAGGAGCTAACAGCCAGCCCGCGCCACCAGCCAGGCCGTAGCGTTCAGATCAGATCAGATCTGCGCTGGAACTGACGCTGCAACCGCCGCGGCGGCCGCCAGCCTGAGCCCCTAGAGGGAGTAGCGGCGAGAGGGAGGGGGCCCGCTGACCCCCGGCGCCCCGCCCCCGCGACAGGCCGGCCGTATGCTGCAGATGGTGAAGACCCTGGCCCAGTTCACCATCGCGCTGGAAGACATGCGCGATCTGGGCCCTGCCGCCGCCTCCGGGGAGCCTGCCTCCGGGGAGCCTGCGGAGAACGAGAGCAGCGGGGCTGACTCTGAGGAGCCTGGGGAGGCCCAGGTACCCGGGAAGGGGAGGGGCAGCCAGGAACCTGGGCCAAGGCCTAGAACTCAGCTGATCCAGGACTGAGGGAAGCATGGGCAGATGCTGGGGCGCAGGACCTGGAGACAGAATCAGTCAGTCCAGCTGCCTGGCCACTGGGCTGGGGACTCAGTGATACGTGATAGGGACAGGGAGACTTGAAGGTGTGTGAGGAGCCCTGGCAGGGGTGGTGTGGCCGGCAGGGCCCTGAGGTTTATTGCCACCAGGATGCAAGTTTAGGAGGGCAAAAAAGCTGGCAAACTCAGCTGGGTGGAGGCCTGCGCCCTGAGACCCAGCCATGGCGAGAGCCAGCAGTACTTAAGACAGTGAAGTGGGTCAGCATGGAGTAAGAGCTGTCGCCAGGGGTTCACAGGCTCAAGAAAGGGAGGTTTTTCCAGCCTCCCTCTCAGGCTGGAGGGAGTCCCCAGGTGTATGTATGTGTGGGAGGGGTGTAGGGGGCACATTTTGCCCCCACCCCTCGCCACCCTCTCCCTGCCACTGTACCCACTGGGCCTTGGAGGTGTCATGCTGTGGTGGTAACGGTGGTGTCTCCGTTCCTGGATCAGTGTGTGGTTCCCCAAGGGGGATGGGGAGGCCTCCGGGGGCTGTTTCCATGGCTTTGTGTGTCTGGGCTGGATCGCTCTGCTCTCCCAGCTCCGGGGCGGCTGCGTCGTGTGTTTCTCTCTCTGCCACCTCGTCTTTGGGCCAAAGGCCTCGATCCTCGGCTAGGTGACTTGGCTGCGTTTTTGTCTCTTTGCGGGGAGTCTGGCCATAAGGCTTCTCTCTGCATATGTCTGTCTGTCTTCATGCCATGTCTATTGGGGGGGTCATGATGTCCGAATCATACTGGTAGGAGAACACCCCCACACACACACCTTCTTCCTGCTGTATCCTTTCGGCCCCCACCTTCCCTTCCCACTTCAGTGCCCCACGCAGTGAAGGGCTGGGGTGGGGGCTGCTGGGGGTGAGGGCTCCGGAGGAAGCCGGGCCTGCAGGGCTGGCCCGCCCAGAACAGGTGGGCCTGCTGGTCTGGTTGACAGCTGCGTTGCCCATCCACTGCTTCCCCTGGCCCCCCGCCCCCACACACTCACCCCCGTGTCTGGGCATGTGCGGAAGATTTCTTGTGCAGTGACAGGGAGCTGGCCTTGTTTTCTGTGCCTCTACCTGACAGCTGAGTGACAGCCTGCTGTGCTTTTAAGCAGGGAGGAGGCTGAGGCAGGCGGGCACTGCGGAGTCAGCCTCCCTGTGTGAGTTGCCTCAGCCCCGCCTCCCTCAGGAGGCCTCCCTGCCCACGACCCTCACTGCTGGGCCTGGCAGGGCTGGGCCAGGGGAGTGGGTGGGGGAGGCTGAGCCCGGCCTGGTCCTCCTCTCAGGGAGCCCCCTGTCCAGCAGGGAGACAGACACAGACCAATCACAGCCTTGCTGAGGTGGAGAGAGAACGGAGCGTGCCGACCCCGTGTGTCAGGACCCTGAGTGTCTGGAGGGCGCTGCTCTGCTCTCGGTGCGCCTGCTTTCACGGCTCTGAGGGGAGGCGCCCTCCGCTTCATAGAGGAGGACGTGGAGACTCAGGTGGTTAGCTGTAGGGCCCGAGTGCAGATCCTGCAGCCCACTGCTGGCTGGTCAGTCTGGGCAGGAACTCCGGGTGCTGGGGCCCTAAGACTCAGCATGGGGTAGCCGGGGAGGCTCTGGTCCTGACTCCACAGGATCGGGCTCTGGCTTTGAGACCTGGGGTAAGTCGTGTCACCTCTCTGACTTGACTTCCTCACCTGGGAAGTGGAGATGAGGACACTTACGTCACAGAGCCACAAGTGCGGGGCTGAAACGAGGCCACGTCTGTGGAGTGCCGAGAGGTCCCTGGGGAGCGAGGGGAGCGTCGGGTGTCTGGGCCTTTCCTGGGGAGGCCCTTGTGGGCCCTCGCGCTCTCCCGAGCTCTCCATCCTGGGGTGGGCCCAGCTCACACCACCTCCTACTGGAAGCTGCCCTGATTTTTTTTAATGGCCTCAGAGCGCTGGGAAATAGATGGTGTGTCTGGAGCTGGGGGCTCTGAGGCAGGCAGGGCCTGGGCCTTCGCGCCCGTCAGAGCACAGGGCCAGAGAGGGTGGCATCCGCCCGGCCCACCCCTAAGTTTCTAGCACAGGAGCCCACTTCCCTGAGTGTGCTTCTTTATAGGACACAACTGGGGACAGGTCTGACTCCCGAGTCCCTGGGTCAGAGGTCGGGGGACCAGAGGTGGGCACACCAGAAGCAGAGGGGCGATGAGCTGTGGCTGGAACAGGCAGGCCGAGCAGAGCTGGGGCTCAGGTCCTCTCAGCAGACACAGGCCCTGGGCACAGCAGGCACCAGGGCAGCCCCGCTGTGGGGCCCTGCTCCGAGGGGCTCCTTGGGGTGGGGACCGGAGGGGTGCTGCAAACGGGACGCCCACCCTGGCATGGCCGTGTGCCTCAGATCAGCAGGCCTTGGAGCTGGAGCCTGAGACAGGGCGCAGACAAATCGGTGTGGTGGGCAAGCCAAGGCCTGGAAAGGAGAGCGGAGAGCAAAGAACAGGCCCCGGAGATCTCGGGCATCCTGATGCCCGAGGCATCAGGAGCCTTGCTCAGGGCCACACCGGAGACTGGAGTGGAGTCTCTGCCTGGGGAGAGAAGCTTTGGGACTGACGCCAGGTGGGAAGGCTTCCTGGAGGAAGAGTGGGCCAGAGGCCAGGGGCTGGTGGGGAAGGGCCGCAGTGAGTGAGTCCCAGGGAGAAGAACACAGAGACGGCACGCCCAGGCTGGCTGCCCGCACAGTCCCTTCACAGGCCAGGGGCTACCCTGTCAGGGACACACACCTGCACCTGTGGGTGTGGGCGCGGAGTCCGGGCCACCCCCCAGGGGCTCTCGTGCGGGTCCTCAGGCTCCCCGGGTGGAGGCATCGGTTCCCGGGCCTCCTTTTCCTCGCCGTCAGAATGCAAGAACAACCACATCTCCCTCGCAGGGTGTCCAGAAGGATGAAATACATAACGCTCAGAGCAGTGCCTGACACAGAGCAGGGCTCAGTTAACTGTTTTCAATGCCAGACCTGGGGCCCAACCTTGTCTGGGAGCCTGAAATCCTGCCCCCGCCCGCCTGCATGACCCCTGGCGCTGGCCTCGCCTCTCCGGGCCACCTTGTCTGCATCTGCAGCCGAGGGCGACAGTGTCCACTCTCGGGGACGGTGTGAGGCCCAGCCGGGTGGGGTCTGACCCTCAGCACTGAGTGTGATGGTGGGGTTTTAAGGATTGGCAGCTGGGAGTGGGGGGTGGCCTGGTGGCAACCTCCTGTGCAAATGTGAGAGGTTATTGATTTTTTTGAGTCCTTCTCAGAAGCCCAGCAGGGGAGCTGAGAAGTAAACAGATCTCTGGATGTGCAGTAGCCACCAGGCACATGGGTGGTGGTGGAGAGGTGAGGGGTACTCTGGGGGAGCAGGAGGGCACCGGGCTGGCTGCTCCCCACAGTCAGAGCGTGTGCGCAGACACCTGGCATAACAGAGGTCCAGGGCACCTGGGGGGCAGCCAGCAGCTCTGGGTGGTGGGGGCGCTCTCTGCACCCGTGTGCGCTGCTCACCTTCTACCTCCATTCCCCCAGGACATGCGGAAGCACGTGACCATGACCCTGCTGGACACGGAGCAGTCGTACGTGGAGTCACTGCGCACCCTGATGCAGGTGAGGCGGCCAGCCTGCCCGGGCCCCTGAGCGTGGCCACGCCGAGGCTAGGAGGCTGTCAGACACGCGGGAGCAAACCTGTGTCATGGACAGGGAGCCCAGGCCAGAGAGGAGAGAGGGATGGCCCTGGGACGCACCGCCCCTCCCGGGAGAGCCCCCCATGTGACTGCCCCGCAGGAGGAAGCCTCCTCTGGGGCCGGAGAGAATGCAAAGGGGCCTCAGTGAGGCCAGAACAGGGGCCCCCTCCACCCCACTGTCCTCCCAAGTCCCCAAGGCAGCTCTGGGTCTGAGCTGAGATTGGGACGCCCCTCTGGTGGACCCCCCACACTTTACTTGTGGACGGAGGAAACGCTTGTTGAGTGGAACGACCCGCTGAGCACCTGCTTGCAGGGCCCTGTTCCCGGGGGAGCCCGGTCCTGCTGGGACGCAGTTGAGTATGTGGGCACTCGTAAAGCTTCAAAGGGGCAACTGCAAGTCAGGGGCCAGGGAACTTGCCCTGGAGGAGGTGCTGGCCTCCCCCTGGCCTGTCCTCTCCACAGCGGGAGTAGCACGTGCGAAGTCCGGACAGGAGAAGCTCGTACACAGGGAGGGCCGTGCGGCCCCCGCAGAGCACAAGGAGTTGGCGAAGGGCAATGCTGCGTGAGCCAGGGGGCACGGGGTCGGGACCCTGGGCACCAGGAGGAGGCTTTGGACTTTGTTGAGGGCCTTAGGAAGTTGGGGAGGTGCTATGAGCAGGGCAGTGTACAGCCTGACTCCAGCTTTACAACATCTGTTGGCTGCTGGGAAGGTGGGCAGCAGAAGAGGAGGCCAGGGCAAGGCCCCTGAGGTCAGGTGAGGGAGGAGAGGCCAGGACCAGGGCAGAGGCTGCAGGGAGAGGGGGGCGGGGTGGAGACTTAGGAGGCGGGTTGGCAGACCACCCGTGGAACCTGGTCGGCTGCGGGGGTGAGGTGGGAAGCCCAGAACGATGCCAGGGCTCCTAGCCTGGGTGCCTGAGGCACCGGAGGAGCCCCGCCTGGGCGAGGTGGGGCAAGGTGGTGAGTTCAGGTTCAGAAATGGAGGTATGGGTCTGGGAAAGCCTAGGAACCGGGGTGCACCAGTAGGTCTGGGGCCCAGGATGGAGAGCGTGGATCTCAGCTAAGGTGGGGCCGGGCAGTCTCAGTTGAGGACCAGCCTGTTCAAGCAGAGCGAGAACAAGGCATAGACGGGAGAGCCCAGGAAACGCCCAGGGCATTCACTGATGCTCTCCGCAAACCCATACCGAGCGCCCCCCTTGTGCCATGCTCGGGGGTTCCTTGGGAGCACACGTGACAGGGCCCCGGCTCCCGGAGCTCCGGCCCGGCAGAGACTGACGGCAGCCCGGCAGACTGACCAGATGTGAGAACAAACGCTGCTGCGGACGTGCACGGAGAGCGTGGACTTAGTGGAATATTGTTCACCTTGCGAGGGAAGGCAGTCCTGACACATGCTACCACATAGACGGGCCCGAGGGACGTCACACTAAAGGAAGTAAGCCAGTCCCAAAGAGACAGACACGGCATGATTCCGCTCACGTGAGGTGTCCTGAGCAATCAGAGCCGTGGAGACGGAGAGCAGAGAAGCGGCGCCTGGGGCTGGGGGTGTGGACACGGGGAGGCGGGGACACGGGGAGGCGGCGTCCAATGAGAACGCCTGGGCAGGAGGAGGAGATGCAGGAGGTGCGTGTCTCCACAGCAATGTGGATGTGACTGTCCCGAACTGTACGCTTAAAAAGGGTTAAAATGGCAAATGTTCTGTTCTATGTCTTTGACCACAAACAATTAACATGCTTTTATATATTTTTTAAAAGTGCGCAGACAGCAGAGAACACAGAATGGGGGCCTGCCGGACGTCGGGGGCCGGGAGGCCTTCTCTGAGGGTGGGGTATTTCGCCAAGACCTGAGGGGCGGGTGGGGTGAGCAGGCGTCAGGCAGGGGAGAGGCTGGAGGGAATGGTCTGCGGGGAGGGTGCTGGGAGAGCCAAGGCTGGGAGCCGGAGGAAGCCTAAAGCAGCTGGGGTTGGAGAGGTGGCTGGCGGGCAAGGGGCTGGCCCTTACTGTAACCGCAGGGACGTCATTGGAGGGACATCTGTTAGCCATCTACAACTGGAATTCCTTCTTTAAGGCACGCCCTGGCTGCCAGCAGGAGTGCATGTGCAGTGGGGTGGGGGACCTTGTACTGTCCCCTAGGTGGGAGTTGAAGGCATAGGGGTCAGACAGCCACCTGCCTCCCTGCTGGGCAACGCTAGCCGAGTCACCTCACTTCTCTGAGGCGCAGTGTTTCTGTCTGCAAAAGCGTAGCTTCCCCTACATGCCTTCTCCCAGCACAAAGGTTAAAAGATGACGAAGCGACCGTGCCTTGTTTGCAGACAGGAGGACGACAGGGCCTGGGCGCGTCTCTAGCTCTGAATCTCCTGGCGGCACCCTTGGAGGTCTGCAGTATCCGGGGTGGAAAAGCTCAGGGAGGGTCGTGCTGAAGGAGCCAGAGGGAGAGTTTTGGGTGGGGAGGGATGGAGAGGGGCCAGAGAGTGTCGGCTGCACCCGAGGACTGCACTTGAAGCAGCCTTGGTGTGTCCAAAGGACTAAGGTCTGGCCCAGGGGTCTGGAGCCAGGACACCAGCATTCAAACTTGGCTCCACCTCTTCACCAGCCATGTGACCGGAACCAGTTACATAACCAGTCTCTGCCTCAGTTTCCTTGTCTGTGGAGTGTGAACAATAATAGCAGCTGCGTCAAGCACAGATTACTGGAGAGCAGCGTGTATAATTTAGCATACTGCCCGGCAATCCTGCATGCGCGCAAGGGTGCACATAAAATCACATTTAATGTCACGTTAACTCTGCGAGGTAGATATTACAGCCTTTCTTTAGATGAGGAAGTGGAGGCTCAGAGAGGTTAGGATACCTGCCCAGGGTCATCCATCTGTTTAGTGGTGTCCTAGCGCAAGTGGGCTGCTGTGACAAAGACACCACAGACTGGATGGCTTAACCAAGTAGAATAATTTATTTCTATAAATTATAGAAATTTAGAAATACAGAAATATAGAAACTATACGCACTGTACATAAGCTAGTTCATAGTAAACCTCACTATAACGGCCCTTCCACAGATGATGAAACTGAGAAGACAGAGAGTAGAACAACTTGCTCAAGGTCACAGAACTAGGAGGCACCATAGCCTGGGCCGATCCCCGTCAGTCTGACTCCGCAGTGCCCCCTGTCAGTCGCCCACTAGTCTGCACTGCCTGACGTGTAGTCCGGCAGCCTGGACTGCGAAGCCCTGGCGTTCCCTCCACGTGACTCCTGCCACACACTGATTGGGATCGTTCCTGCAGGCCAGGAACTTAAAATGACAAAGTTAAATACCAAGGTTAACGGCCAGAAGGAGGAGGCGGGATTTGAACCCAGGTCCTGAGGCCACCCCCTTCCCTTGGTGCCACTCTCACCCAGGCTCTCAGCTAACCCAGCTCCTTCTCTGAGCACTCCTGACGCTGTCTTTCCCCATGGCACTCACTGTCTGTCTTCTGACCTGCTGTGTGATGAGTTTACTTATGGTGCCTGTTTTCTTCCCCCTCCGCTAAAACACCAGCTCCACAAGCACAGGGACTTTGTCTGCCATTGAGGCCCGTGCCTAGAAGGCCAGATGCACGGTAGTTGCTCAGCGAGTGTGTGGCAAGTGAATGCAGGTGTGGGCTCCTAGCTGGTTCTGTATCGGGTTCTCACTGTTTATTCCCCCCTGCTGTGTGCTTGCATCTGTGTGGGGTGTTGGGACCTGGAAGTGAGCGGTGTAGTTCCTGCCCCTTGGGGGGCAGCAGCCCCCAGCCTGGGTGAGACGCTGGCTCAGCCGGGCCGGTGCTGGGAGAGGAAGGCTGCCTGCTGGCCTCCTCGCCATCACCATCTGGCCTTTTCAGAACCCCCACCCAGGCGAGAGGAGGATTCTGTTGAACTTTACTTTTCAAACTTGTCTTACAAAACAAGCCAGATTTTTAAAATGTTTAATGTACATTTTATGACAACGTTGCACATACATTTTCAGATGGTTTTTTTTTGGCCTGCAGTTACAATTCTGGCCAGGAGAGGGCAACCTCTCCATGAGCACACCAGCTGCTGAGCAAGGGCTATTTATGCTCAGGAAACACCATTGAATGCAGATTTGAAGTGAAAAATAGGTTAGTCACAGACTGACCGGCAGATCTGAAAGCTGTTCAGTTACTGTTCAGGTAGTGTCACTGAAAGCCTCCAGTAACTTCCCATAGGCCCTCCCACATACGTGCCTGCTTCATTAACCCACAGCAGTGATCATCTTTGACTTACATGGTTTCCACAGGTAATCACTTCTAAGGCATGTTCCTTAAGCAACATCTCTGAAATCAAGGTTCATGTTGTAATTGAATGAATATCACCATTTAAATGGCAGCAAATTTTTTTCTCAAAAGTACATCTTAGATTTGCTGAGAGTTGGTTTGTTTTTGTTTATTGTTTTAGTTGTGTATTTTATCTGACTAGATGGTGAGCTCTGTCAGGGCAGGGACTTGGGTCTTCCTCGTTCACTGCTGTCACCCAGTTCTTGAACGGTGCCTGGCACAGAGTAGGTGCAGGCTTAGTGTGTGTGGGTCACGCAGGGAGCCCAGCCTTCCTGCTTTCCTCACTCCAAGCTCTGCTTGTCCATGCATTCAACCTTTCCTGAGCCCCCTCATGCCCATCTGGGCCAGGCGCTGGGCTGCGCAGTGCGGGGCATGAGGGTGGGTCTTCCTGTCTCCCTCCTGGGGCTCTGTGTCTAGTGAGGGAGACCCAGGAGGCAGGGCCCCTGAGCTGCAGGCCTGGGTGACTCGGTGTGTACCTGTGCCAGGAGTTTGGGGTGCCCTCTCTCTGAGGGGGACTGTACTGACCTCATGGCTCCTCCAGGGCTACATGCAGCCACTGAAGCAGGCTGAGAACTCCTTGCTGTGTGACCCGTCACTGGTGGACGAGATCTTTGACCAGATCCCGGAGCTCCTGGAGCACCACGAGCAGTTCCTGGAGCAGGTGCGGCACTGCGTGCAGACCTGGCACGCCGAGCAGAAGGTGGGACACCTGCTCATCCAGTCGGTGAGTGCCCCTGCGGGTGGGGCCGGCTGCTGCTGTGGACCCCCCACCCCACCTCACCTGGACACGGATTCTGATCCCAGATGTAATCCCAACACTTGACCAGACCCTGGTACTGATCCCAGACTCTGGGTTGACCTGAACCTGGACACTGCCCAGCCCTGGGTCTTGGCTGGACTCTGGTGGGGGCCTTAATCCCGAACAGTCACTGACCTGAGCCCGCACCCAGCGCAGGCTACTGGCACTGACCTACCCTAGTCCCGACCCTGAACTGGCGCTGATGCTGCCCCAGCCCTCAAAGGGATGCTAGTACTGGCCTCAGCCCCTCCCTTGACTAGCTCTTGTCTCCATCAGATATTTCAACAGTAATAGCTAACTATTTGTCACTTAATATGTGCTAGGCATTGGTCTAAATACATTGCACAGGGCGGGACAAAAGTAGGTTTACAGTTGTGAGTACTCAAAACATAGGGTTTATTCTTGTATTAGTGTTTATTAAGTGCTGTATTATTTCCCATCGAACAGCTGTAAACCCACTTTTGCCCCACCCTGTATATATCGACAACTCCAGGAAACAGGTGCTCTTGTTGCCCTGAATTTAAACCTGATGGCTCTGTGGCAGAGAGAAAATAACCCGATCAGAGCCATAGTCGGCGAGAGGCACAGGATCCCACCCCCGGACACCTGCTTCTAGAGCGCACACTCTGTTCCCCCTTCTGTTCCCTTCACCCTCCGTCTGTGCACTTTCCGGGGTCCAACAGGAGTGTTTGAGACCCTGCACCCTGGTGTATTTCATCAGTTTGGCTCAAATAAGTGCTCATAAAAATTTTAAAAAGAGAGAACGATCCCACAATACTGACTGGAACCTTTGGAAAAGAATTGGCTTCAAAGCTCAAAAAGAACTGCAAAAGCAGAACTAATAAACATTTAGCAAAATGCCTGTAAGACATAACATGCCATTTTCTTTAACTGTTAAATTTAGAATTCATTTATAAGAATTTGGTTACATTAGAAAAATTTAAGTTACATTTTGTTATTTTGCCAGAATTCCCAAGAATGCATGATGATGGCAAATAAATTATAGCCAAATGCAAACTAAATGATTACTCAGAGCCAAAAAATTTTAAAAAGCAAAATTGTAAAACTCCTTCCAAAAATTTTACTACAAAAATAAACGTACTATTTTTGTAGGATGTGGGCATGTTTTCATGAGTTTGAGGTGATGCGGGTGGGCCTCGGGCCTAAGAAGGTCTCAGAAGGCCCCTGCTGTTCTGAAAGCAGCACGAAGGGGACCCTTGTTCTGGAGGTGCAGCTGAGACAGGAACCAGGGGTCCCGACTTCCAGCTGGGGCTTCACCCAGGAACCCCCACATTTAGCCCAGCTGTCAGCCAGCCAACAGGTGTCAGTCCCCAGCTGGGCACCCCTCACTGAGCGGGGCATGACTGGGGGGTGGGGGGCACCTGTCTCCTTGGAGGAGATTGTCCTGAGGGTCAAGGGAAGCCAGAGACCAGGTGTAGTTCCAGGCAGAGCCCTAGTGAGGACAGGGAGTGCTTCCTGGAGGAGGCAGACCTGGAGCTCAGCCTTGAGGACGGGTGAGATGTGGGTGGGGGAAGGGCATACCTGCTGGAGGGAACACAGGAGCAAACAGCTGGAGCAAAGCTGCTACTCAGAGGAGAGCCGGGGGGAGACCTGTCTGCTTGGAAATGAGAGACCCTGGGCTGAGCTCACAGGACACAACCAGGCACACAGTCATGCACACGTACACGGATAAGACACACGTGCACGCATCTATGCACATACACACACCTGATCACACAGTCACACACAGCGTGTACACACAACACTCAGGAGTGCCCGCCTTACCTCTCAGAGACTGCATCATTTTTAACTGGAGGGGAAGGATGTTGGCTCCTGAATTGGTGGAAACCAGGACAGGGTGAGGTGGGGCAGGAAACACCTTGAGGGTCCTCAACCTGTGTCTTCACCTGCAGTTCTCCAAGGATGTCCTGGTCAACATCTATTCTGCCTACATTGACAACTTTCTCAACGCAAAGGACGCTGTACGTGTGGCCAAAGAGGCGAGGCCTGCCTTTCTCAAGTTCCTAGAGGTACTGTGGGCCAGCACTGGGGGGATGGAAGCTACCCTCGTCTTGGGCCAGTTTTGGGGGCCCCAGGAGCTTCCAGCCTGGGCACCATGGTCCTAGCCTGTGGGGTCAACTTCTGCCCTCAAGCTGAGCTGCAGGGGCTTCCTGGGGGCTGGTCCCTGGACAGTCCCTTCTCTGCGTGTCATTCCTCACGCGGCCACCCCCGGCCCTGTTTTGGATTTCAGCAAAGCATGCGTGAGAACAAGGAGAAGCAGGCGCTGTCTGACCTCATGATCAAGCCCGTGCAGCGGATCCCACGCTACGAGCTTCTGGTGAAGGTGGGCCAGGCCTGGAGGCTTGTGGGGATGCAGGGGGCTCTGAGGCCTGGTCCCCAGGTGTCAGTTAGGAAAGGAAGTCCTCCCTGACATCTACCCATAGTGCTTCCTGCTACAGAGCCAGTGTGGGGCCCCAGGTCCCAGCAGAGCAGCTAAGCAGGCAGACCTGGCCCCCATTCTCACCCCAGGACCTCCTGAAGCACACGCCTGAGGACCACCCGGACCACCCACTCCTGCTGGACGCGCAGCGGAACATCAAGCAGGTGGCCGAGCGCATCAACAAGGGCGTGCGGAGTGCGGAGGAGGCAGAGCGGCACGCCCGCATCCTGCAGGAGATCGAGGCTCACATCGAGGGCATGGAGGATGTGCGTGCAGCCCCGCCCCGCCCTGCCTGTGCCTGTGTCCCTCTGCGGTCACCTGGAACTGTGGCTGTGTCCACGTCCACAGCGGTGTCCACAATGTGTTTGCATCGTGTCTGTCAGCATCTCCCCCTTCCCTCTTCCACACCTGTCTCCGGCCTTGTGTCCTGCGGCCTGATGGCATCAGGCGGGGGATGGGATGTTGCCTCCACCGGCCTGGCCCATAGAGTGGGGCCACGGGGTCACCAGGCCCTGGGGCGACGGGCACGGTGAGGATCAGTAATCAGCCTGCAAACACCTTGTACCTCCTGCCCCACAGCTCCAAGCCCCCATGCGGCGGTTCCTGAGGCAGGAGATGGTCATCGAAGTGGTAAGAAGTGTCCTAGTGTCTCTCCGCTTGTCCCCACCCCCACCCCCACCTTGTTCACGCTTCTGCTCATACCCGCTGCCCACGGCTCTCCCTGCTCTTCCGCCCCAACAGGAGCCCTGGGTCCAGTCCCTCCTCTACCTCTTCCTCTGGGCAGCTGTGGGAAAGTCCTGCCCCTCCCTGGGCCTGGCTGTCCCCCTGGGCACTGTGGGCAGGAGGGTGGGCCTCTGGGCCTGAATGCTGCCTCGGGCCCCACAGAAGGCAGTTGGAGGCAAGAAGGACCGGTCCCTCTTCCTGTTCACGGACCTCCTGGTGTGCACCACCCTGAAGCGGAAGTCGGGCTCCCTGCGGCGCAGCTCCGTGAGTCTGTGAGTGGCTGGGGTGGGGTGGGGGCTCGGACAGGGGGCCGCGGCTGTCCCTCCCTGGGCCCCACGCCCCTGCCCCGGCCAGAGCACCCCTTGGCTCCCCACAGGTACACGGCGGCCAGTGTCATTGACACGGCCAGCAAATACAAGCTGCTGTGGAAGCTGCCCCTGGAAGACGCGGACATCATCAAAGGTGGGGCTGCCTCAGGCCTGCCCAGGGATCTGGGTGTGGGGGTGTCAGGGTCTTCCTCTGCAGGGCCCTCCTCGTGGGTTTGAGCTGCGGCCAGGCTGGCTGCCTGTCCGTCTGCTTTTCTGCTTTGGGTCTTCACTCCCCCCCGCCAGTATGAGGGGCTGGCACGTGGGACCTGACTGGCCCCCACAGAGCCAGGACAGGACCGGTCCATGAGGACCGCCTGCTGACTGGTAGGGACCTGGCCCGGGTTGGTGGGTGGGCTGGGCAGGGGCGGTGCCGGGAGCACAGACATACTGTCCCTATTGGCCACTGATTCTGCACAGACACGCGGAAGCGTCTCCTGTTAGGTGACGGGCACTGTCCTGGCCCCATGGCTCTGCATGCAGGGACGCAGACCCGGTCCCGCCAGTCCTCACACCCGGGCAGTCAGAAGGCCGTTGGCCGGAAAGTCCCATGCTGTTCGGGGCTGTGAGGAGCTGAGGCAGCTTTAGGGACCTGCTCTTCCTGCTGTGTGTGTGTGTACTGCCGTCTGTCTGTCTCTCCCTCTGTCAGTTTGTTCTCCTCACTGCCCTGAGTCTTCTCTGCTTCCTCCCAAATCCCAAGATCCGTCACGCCTTTTCCGTGTGGGCCGTCCTCCCCCTCTCCCTCTGGGCCCCAGCTGCTCCAGGATCCGCCTAATTGAGGGGTGTTTGGTGTCGAGTGCTGGTGCGGGCACCTCTGGGCCAGCAGCAGTGCAGGCCCAGACTCTGTCCCTAAGCTCAGCGGGGGTGCTCCCCAAGGTGAGGAAGGGGCTCGCTCAGCCAGGTGAACCCAGACCTGCCCCACCTGGGCCCCTGTGTAGGAATCCAAGCTGACCATTGGCCCAATCCATGCCTTCTCACTGGAAAACCAGCTGACAAATGATTGTCTGTAGGTCAGGTGTTCAGGGCTGGTCCAGTTGGCTGCGGCCAGGGGTGGGACAGGGTCACATGGAAGAGACCGTGGCCGCCCGGGCAGTGAGAGCTGTGGGGACAGTTTCCCTCCGAAGGAGCAGGAGGACCCCCAGCCGTGGCTTCTCTTGCACACTCCACCGCTATCTACGCTGCCTAGGCAATGTGGGGCGTGGGGGTGCTGGCAGTGGTCAGGTGTGCTCTAGACTGGAGAAATCCAGGACATCAGTGCGTTGCTCCCACCTTCGTGGAGGAATGAAGTCCTGCAGTCAGCAGATTTGACTGCCCGAGGCCCTGCCTGCCCAGCCGGCTCCCCATGCAAGGCTGCCCCATGCAGCCGGCCAGCTCGCCAGCTGCAGCTGCATGGTCTGCAGGGCCACCTGCTGTGCATGCTTTGTGCTCTCCCGGGGAGTTCTCCCGGGACCCAGCGCCTTAGGCTGTGTGGCTCTGAGTCAGGCCCAGCCCCTGCTCTCAGGCCTGGGGTCTCTCTGCAAGCCGCCTGAGAACTCCACTGCTGGGCACTTGGGGTTGCGAGCTCTGTTTGTCAGGCCACTCCCCACACCCAGCTGCAAGTTGGACAGTGACGGACGGGAGGAGTGTCTGTCCAGCTTGACCTTGTCTGTCTCTGGATTTGTCCATGGCCTTCCTCTATCCCCACCAGGGGCATCCCAAGCCACTAACCGGGAAAACATCCAGAAGGCCATCAGCCGCCTGGACGAGGACTTGACCACCCTAGGCCAGATGAGCAAGCTCTCTGAGAGCCTCGGCTTTCCGCACCAGGTCGGCGTCCACTGCCCAAGGCTGCCCCGAGCTGGGAGTGGGGTGGGGAAATACGGCCTCACCGCGTCTGAGGGAGGAGAGAGGGCCCATCCTGTCCGTGGGGGGATCCAGACTTGCCCTTGGTGAAAGAGGGGAGGCAGAGCCCCATTTTCTGTATGAGGGGAAAGGCAGGTCCCCAGCCACATCCCCAGGGCAGGAGCAGACTGTGGGGAGATGGTAGAGCCTGAGGCTGGGCCTCCCTCCCCACAGAGCCTGGACGACGCGCTGCGGGACCTCTCGGCCGCCATGCACCGGGACCTGTCCGAGAAGCAGGCGCTGTGCTGTGCGCTGTCCTTCCCGCCCACCAAGCTGGAGCTGTGCGCCACGAGGCCCGAGGGCACCGACTCCTTCCTCTTCGAGTTCCCCCACCCTGACGCCCGCCTTGGCTTTGAGCAGGCCTTTGACGAGGCCAAGCGGAAGCTGGGTGAGCCAGGGCCCCGCCGGCACCCTCCTCCCAGAACTTCCAGGCAGTGGTCACAGCTGTCAGAGACGTTGGGAGCCCGGAATCCCAGGACGGCATGTCCTCTGCTCCAGTCCCTGCTGGTGGGAGAGTGGACTAGACTTCTGCAGTGAAGCACAGGACTCCCCAGGGCCTCCGGGCAGAGAGGAGGGCTCCAAGGATTGGGGCAGCTTAAGCCAGGGGCCCCGAGGGGGAGAGGGTGGCTGGGGACCCGCCATCTCATCCATGCTGGGAGGAAGCTGGCTCAGGGCAAGCTGTGGATCGAGGTCTGTAGCTTAGACAATTCTTAGAGACCAGCTGGGAGCTTAAGGCCGGGGACAAGGAGGGCATAGTCCGCAGCCACCTCATTCCCCCTTGAGAGACCCTGAGCGGCAGGGGAGGAAGGGACATGGGGGGGGTCAGGAACCAGGATGAGGTAGATGCTAAGCAGTGCCTGTCTGTCTGTCTGTTCATCTCCACTGCAGCATCCAGCAAAAGCTGTCTGGACCCTGAGTTCCTAAAGGCCATCCCCATCATGAAAACACGCAGTGGCATGCAGGTATGTGCATGTACCTGGGTCACGTGGGTTTACATATTCAGAGCCAGCACGTGTTCATGTGTTCTGTGTTAAAGTTACATGTGTGTCTTGAGTATTGCAACTGCTCCCTATGTTTCTGAGTGTACAGCTCTCTCTGCACATGCTCATGGACACTGCATGTGTCACATGCACATGGGTGTGTTCACACATGTCTGTGCATGTGTACAAAGGCTATACAAGTGGAAGGTTCATGTGCTTGTATGAGCTTATACGTATGTATAAAAGTTATTTTCACGTTTGCTGCATGCATATGCATACTCGGTGTGTGTATGTGCACATGCATGAATGAATGATACCCATATCACAGGTATGTGTGTGTTCAATGTGTAAAGTGTGCCGCGTGGGCTGTGTTGGGAGCCCCTGCACACCTGCTGGTGAGAGTCAGTGGCCATCTCTCCATTCGCCTTCCCCTGCCTCTTGCAGTTCTCATGTGCGGCCCCAACCCTGAGCAGCTGCCCAGAGCCCGCGCCAGAGGTGTGGGTGTGCAACAGTGACGGCTACGTGGGCCAGGTGTGCCTGCTGAGTCTGCGCGCCGAGCCCGACGTGGAGGCCTGCATCGCCGTCTGCTCCGCGCGCATTCTCTGCATCGGGGCAGTGCCCGGCCTACAGCCCCGCTGCCCACGGTGAGGGCCCTCGTGGGCAGGGCCAGTGCACTGAGTTCCCACGTCCAGCATGCCCAGGTTACCCTGGTGATGGCGGCCATGGGCTGTGCAGTGGTGTGGGTGGGGCCTCGAGGGCGTGTCTGTGGATGGGGCCTTGTGGGCTTGCCAGGGAGTGGGGCTGAGCCTGGGCTCCTGGGGGCTCTCATCCTGCCCCTTTTGTCTCCCAGGGAACAGCCTTCATCTCTGAGAACCCCCCAGGAGTCGGCACCCGAGCCTGCTGGGCCGGAACTGGATGTCGAGGCCGCAGACGAGGAAGCAGGGACGCTGGCAGATCCCGGGCCCCAGCCCTGCCTGCACATCTCCATTGCGGGGTCCGGCCTCGAGATGGCCCCCGGCCCCGCCAAGGGTGACCCCCGCCCAGAGTTGGTGCCCTTCGACAGTGACTCGGATGATGAGTCTTCGCCCAGCCCCTCCGGGACCCTGCAGAGCCAGGCCAGCCGGTCCACCATCTCCTCTAGCTTTGGCAGTGAGTGCCTGACTTAGAGCTGCCAGGCAGGGTGGACTGCCCAGAAGAGGGGGCAACCTAGAGGGTGCTGATGGGTGAGGAGGGACCTGCGTAAGCACAGTCTGGGATCGAGTCTCAGGACGCCAGCACGCAGAGTGGGGGCGGGGGAGCGGGCAGCAAGGTGGGCAGGGCGGTGCCACTGAGGCCCCAGAGGGCTGTGGGACAGGCAGGCAGGTCCTGGAGTGACTAGCAAGTCCAAGATGGAGGGGGGGTGGATTGGTTGGCCCCTTTGTCCACGGGACTGTGGCGGACTGGGGGGCCAGACCAGGACTGGGGGCCGGCCACGCTGCTCTGTTGGTGGGCCCACTGACAAGGCCAGAGCCGCTGCGGAAGCCTTGGGGTTGAGGGAAGCAGATGTGGGAGGCCCTTGGGAGGAGACCGAGGCCCAGAGAGGCATCAGGGCTGCGGCCTGGCAGAGGGGAGTGGAGACAGAGACCTTTGTCCCCCGCAGATGAGGAGACCCCGAGCTCCAAGGAGGCCGCGGCAGAGACGACCAGTTCGGAGGAGGAGCAGGAGCCCGGCTTCCTGCCGCTATCCAGCTCCTTTGGGCCGGGTGGCGCCTGTGGCCCCAGCCCGGTGGATGGGAGAGCCCTCCGTCGCTCCAGCCGTGGCTCCTTCACCCGGGGCAGCCTGGAGGACCTGCTGAGTGTTGACCCCGAGGCCTATCAGAGCTCCGTGTGGCTGGGCACTGAGGATGGCTGGTAGGGAGTAGGGACTCGGAAGGGGCCAGGGTCACGGTGCCGGAACCCTGAGCTCCTCGCTTCGGGAATCACAAGGTTTTCTGAAGCAGGAGCAGGAGCGCGTTGGGCAGACCCCAGGGGCACTGCCACCCAGGCTGCCGGTGGGTCTGAACTCACAGGGAGGCTGTGGGATCTCAGTCTCTTGGGCAGCCAGCTGCCTGGCACAGAGGAGATGGTGGTAGAGACAAAGAGTTGGAGGGGTGGCTCGGGGATGGGTGTGCCCACGCACAGGTCACAGGTGCCTGTCCCTGATCCGCAGTGTCCACGTGTACCAGTCCTCCGACAGCATCCGCGACCGCAGGAACAGCATGAAGCTCCAGCACGCAGCCTCCGTGACCTGCATCCTGTAAGGCCCTTGGCTGCCCTTCAGGGCAGACCCCCTCAGATGCCCCCACGGACCTCCTTCTGTCCCCCTGAGCCCCCCTGCTCTGTGGGCCCCTCCTGTCGCTGGCCGCTGGAGACCCTGGGACTGGCCCCAGGCCAGCTGTGCCTCTCACACACTGTGTGGCCGTGGGCAGTCAGTGCCCCTTCATGGACGTAGGCTGTCTCACCTGCGGGGGTGGCCTCTCGGGAACCGTAGCCATGTTGTCTGTGGTGTCCTTGGCCCCAGGTGACCTGCTTTGGTCCCCTGAAGCCCCTGACTCCCCCTGTGTTCTGCTTAGGTATCTGAATAACCAGGTGTTTGTGTCTCTGGCCAATGGGGAACTGGTGGTCTACCAAAGAGAAGCAGGTAAGGCCCAGCCCTGCCAACCCCCAGAGCCCCGTGCTGGTGTTGGGGCATCCTCCTGAGAGAGGCTGGGCCCCGGGGCCCTGCGTCTGGGGAGGGGGCTTCAGTGTCCTCATTTTTAAATGGTGTTGTTAGCACCTCGTTTCAGGAGAGTGTGAGGCTCAAACGCAACACTGAACTGGGTCTGTTGTTCTCCTTACCCCACCCCCACCCCAGGTCGTTTCTGGGACCCCCAGAACTTCAAGTCTGTGACCTTGGGTGCTCAGGGGAGCCCCGTCACCAAGATGGTCTCTGTGGGCGGGCGGCTGTGGTGTGGCTGCCAGAACCGAGTGCTGGTCCTCAACCCGGACACGCTGCAGCTGGAGGTAGCCATTGGGGTGGGTGGGAGGTGGAGGTGGTGGGTACAGCCCTAGGTGAGCTGGGCCTGCAGGAGAGGGCCATGAGCCTGCAGGGAGGGAGGCGTAGAAAAGCATCCAGTTGTTCAGGGAGAGGCCAATGATTGCTCTTAAACCCCTTCAAGCTTTGAAATCCTCCGACCCCTAAATCACTCAAATTTCACGGGGAACGGGCACCTCCATTTTGGTTCCTGAAGATTCAGTGGGAGGCTCCAGTGAGAGCTTGATGGGTTGGTCATCCAGACCAGTCGGGGTGCGAGGAGCAAGGCTGCTTTGCTGCGGGTGCCGGCAGGCTTCCTGGAGGGGCTCGGTGTGGGTGATGAGGGAGGGGCGGGTGCTGGAGAAGCACAGGCAGGGAGGGACCCGGGAGGCGAGCCTGCCAGTCATCCCACGGCTCTCTGTCCCCCGCCCAGCACACATTCTCCGTGGGGCAGGACTCCAGTCGCAGCGTGGCGTGCATGGTGGACTCCAGCCTGGGCGTGTGGGTGACTTTGAAAGGCAGTGCCCACGTGTGTCTCTACCACCCAGACACTTTCGAGCAGCTCTCTGAGGTGGACGTCACACCTCCCGTGCACCGGATGCTGGCAGGTAGCAGCCTCAGTCTACTACCGCCCCTGGCCCCCCCAGAACCCCCGGCCCCGTCATCGGCCCGTCATCGAGGCTGAGCCAGGGCCAGGATTCAGCCTCAGCTCCGGTCTGTCTCCCACCCCAGGCTCGGATGCCATCATCCGGCAGCACAAGGCTGCCTGCCTGCGGATCACAGCGCTGCTGGTGTGCGGGGAGCTGCTGTGGGTGGGCACCAGCGCCGGCGTCGTGCTCACCATGCCCACCTCGCCCAGCACCGTCAGCTGTCCGCGCGCACCCCTCAGCCCCGCAGGCCTAGGCCAGGGGCACACCGGCCACGTCCGCTTCCTGGCTGCGGTCCAGCTGCCCGACGGCTTTAACCTGCTCTGCCCGACCCCGCCGCCGCCCCTGGACACAGGTGGGTCTGCGTTTCCTGCCCCTCCCCTGGGGTCCTGGACTTCTGTTCTCAAACTCCGGCCCATCCTGCCAGAAGAGGTGTAAGGAGGCGGGGAGGGGGGTAACACAGAGCTGCAGGTGGCACATGTCGCAGGAAGTGGACTAAGGAAGCCCCAGAATAAAAACCGAGGGTGCGTGTGTGAAGGGCCATGGGAGACGGGGAGTGGGCTGTAAGCCAAGAAGAAGCAGAGCGCGGCGCAGCAGGGGCACAGACCACAGGAAACGCGCCCGGAAGTGCTGTGGAGAGCAGGAAGTAGAAATACCACCAGGCAGCAGAACACGGAGAGGCAGGTGGGACAGGAAACAGGCGTGAAAATTAGGAAGGGAGCAGATTAGGGACGACGCACATCAAGGAGGCAACAATTAGCGAAGTCTCGCCCTGGCAGCACAGGAAACCGCGATGCGGGAGGAAGTGGCTGAGGGAGTCGGGTGCGGAGGGGACCTAGCGGCCTGGCCGGGAATGGCCCCCGGGAGCGGGAATGAGCATGCGGAGGACGGTAGATGGGTAGCAACACGGAGGGGCAGGCAGTGGTGTGGGCCTGGGCGTGGCAGCGCTCTTGCCTGGAAGGCACAGGGGAAGGTAAGGAGCTGTCTCACTGCCAGGAGGCAGGCGTGTCTTCCCCAACAGGGGGCGCTCGGCCAGTAGGAAGTGGGACCCCCCACAGGAAGTGTGCCCGTCTTCCTCCCTACCTCCTGGGGCGCTGCGGCTTAGGCCCTGACCGGGACAGTGCAGCCACTAGTCGCCCCAGGCTAATGGGTCCTCCCCTCCACCCCCCAGGCCCCGAGAAGCTGCCGTCACTAGAGCACCGGGACTCCCCTCGGCACCGAGGACCCCCCTCAGCCAAGCCCAAAATGCTGGTGATCAGCGGAGGGGACGGCTACGAGGACTTCCGGCTCAGTGGTGGGGGCGGCGGCAGCAGTGAGACCGTGGGCCGCGACGACAGCACGAACCACCTCCTCCTGTGGCGGGCGTGACCCTGTCCAGTGCGGCTCAGGACTTGGCCGCCCCTGCCCGCAGCCTGCTTGCCTCTTCCCGACCCACACGCAGACTCTGCCAGGAGTGTCCAACCGGGGGCTCACCTGTGCCTGCCTGGGCTCCTCCCATTTTCGCGGAAGCATTCCTGATGGAACACCTGCCTGGTGGTGGGCCTAGGCCTTTCCTGACCCCCTGGCTGCTCCCGCGCTCCCCGTGGTGAGGCAGGCCGGTGGGGGGCAAGAGGACTGCCCAGGACCTCTGTCCCTGGAGCTTCTACCAAAGACACGGCCGGGCCTGGGCCCCACGGGGCTGGGGAGGGCCATGTGCAATATGTGGAGGGTTTTCTTGGGGGCCGCGGGAGGGCTGGGGGATGGAATCCTTTCCCGTGTACAGTATTTATGTTTCTTTTTAGATGTGTACCTTCCCAAGCACTTATTTATGCAATGACCTAGGGCGGGGAGTGATTGGAGGAAATGACAGAAGGGAAGACCCCATTCCTGCCCTGGGGGGCCACCCAGGACCCTGACCAAGCCTTCCTGGAGGGACCAAACCCCCTCATTACCTGCCCACACAGGCACACACACTGCATGTTCAGGGCCCTGGAGCACCGCCCCTTGACCCGCTTCCTATGACCTCAGCCTCGCCTCGGTCCGGCCACCCTCCAGCACTCAGCCAAGGGCCAGGTCCCCTCAGTCATCCAGCACCAGATGATGACTAGGAGGATGGCAACTCCCACCTGGGGTATCTGCCCTTGGCATTTCCTAGTTTAATGGCAGTGCCTTTGGTGGTTTCCGAGTCTGGGGACACTGAGGGGCCTTGGACAGGGCTCTCTCCTGGCCTCCACAGGAAGAGAAAAGGGCCCTTGCTCTCCTCGAAGTTGCCCCCACCCCCGTGTCTCATGCACTGGCACATACGGTCACCTTGGGAGGGGGGCCTAGGAGCCCCTCACTCTGACCACTGAATCCTTCTCTTCACACCCCTCCCGCCAGGGGCAGCCCCCCCAGGAAGGGTGCCCAAAGCCAAGGGGGCTGGACGTGGCCTCTCCTCTGGGAGGCGCTCGAGGGCAGCCTGTCCCCTGCCCCTGTACCCCAGGAGCCAGTCTGAGCCCCAGCCCCCTCGCTTGCTCAGCTGCCGCTCCACCATGGTCTGGTTTCAGATGGGGTTGGTTTGGTTCTGTTTCTGGGGTAGGCGGGTCATTGCGGTCTTAGATTGTGTTTCTCTTGCTACCAAACAGTCATGTATTAACTTTCCTTGGATGATGAATTTTAAAGAGTCAATAAATAGAAACACCAGATGATTGCTCCCCATCCGTGGCCCAGGTGGCCTCATGCCAGCATCATAAGGGCTCCCCAGCTGCGAGGGCCTCCCGACACCCGCTCACATGCACAGAAGAGAGGCCTCGGAGACCTGGAAGAGTGCTGGGATGGCCAGGCTGCCCCTGACTTGTATTATTATGACAGGTCACCGCCTGTCAGGGGTGCAGTTTCCTCATCAGGAACACAAGGGGCTGTGTTAATCCAGTGCTTGGTAACCATGGCTACGTGTTAGCATTCTTTACAGACTCATGTGTAAATACAAAGCATGGCACAAATTATATGTCCACGTAAACACATGTTCTCAGGCTCCCCTCAGGTCCTGAGTCGGTGGGTCTGGGATGGGGCTTTAATATGGAGCTAAAACACACTGCAGGTAAAAGACTCGGCAACTGGTGGGCCTGGCCTGTCTGCAGGAAGCCATTCCCCAGCAAAGCTTTACATGAGGCTGGGGACTCTGACACAGGCGAAGGTGAGCTCAGGCTTTGGAGCTGGAGTAGAGGCCAAGTCTGTCTGATTTCTGGTCCAAAGAAGTATATCATTAAGCAAAGTGTCATTAAATCAGACATAAGGATGCACAGGCCAGTCTGTGTCAGGGCAGAGCCCTTACCACAGGACCTGCCTGCTGAACCCAAGGTGGTGACCGCCAGAAAAGGGCAGGTCATGCCTCTGCTCTTCTGAACACGCGAGAACACTTCCCACTCTCAGTGATTACAGTTTTACACAGACCAGTTGGTGGAGCACAGGCTGATGCTTTGCAAACGTGTTCACATCAGTCATTTGTGAGGTACCTGGCTCGTGTTCCTCACACCAGCCCTGGGCAGTGTGTCCTGACCTCCGAGGACAGAGAAGAGTCAGGACCAAAAGCCATCCCTTCTCCAAAGTGGTTCTCCAGGCGTCCCTTGAATTAGGGACAGTGGGCGTGGTTTAGGTAGACATCTACCTCGTGGAGAAGGTGAGTCACAGAGAGGGGTAGGGGTTTATCTGAGGTCACACAGCAAGGCAGCTTTGAGGCTGGGGGGTGGGTGTAGAGGAAGGCTCCCTGTGGTCAGAAAGGTCAGAGAATGGCCCTTAGAACTCAGAAAGCACAGGGCTAGGTTGGCTGGCCCCCAGGGGCCCTGTCATCGGGGTCAGCACTAGTCCATGTCCAGAGGGGCTGGTAAAGGGAGAAGCAGGTATGGCTAAGGCCCTGGCTTAGACCTTCTGGGTGGAACCTGGGGAGGGCATGGGGACCAAGAAGTCTTTTAACTGAAGCCTCAGCCCTGGCCTCCCATCCCTGTGTGACCCTAGGCAAGCGTCTGCCCTCTCTGGGCACAAGTGACCTCGGAGAGCCCTTCTCATCCTTTGCATCCCTGCCAAACACCAAGTCTTCTGTCCTCACAGACCTTAAGCCACAGGCCAGGTTGCAGGAAGCTGCAAGGGGAAATGCTATTTCAGGCCCATTATGGCCAATGAGGAGCTGTGCCTGGCAAAGGCAAGAGAGCGGACAGCCCAAGCTGGGTCGGAGCGAGATAGCAGGCCTGAACTGGGGAGGAAGACAGTGAGCAGGAGTAAGCGGGGCAGAGCTCAGGTGCGTGGTTGTGGGGAGGACACGGCAAACACTGAGGGTGGGGGGGAGACGGGACAGGCCTGGTGTTAGAGCCCAGTAGCTTTGAAGGAGCGGGTGCCCTCTTCTGGAGTCTCAGTAGGTCCTCACAGCATCCTGGGTGGGTGAGCTTGCACTCAGGCGAAGCCACTTGCCTCCAGCCTGGTGGAGGAACTAGGCCTTGACTTCTCTCCGTGTCACACCAAAGCCCAGCCCCAGCAGGGTTCCAGATCCAAGCCAGGATCTGGGCCTAACTGCAAACAGAACCTAACCCTCAGGCCCAGTCCGCTCTGCTCCAGACTGAGCCCCACACTGGCCTCCTAGGCCGTTCCTCCCAACACCAAGTCTGCTCTCCCCCCTGGAGCTAAGGCACAAACACAGGAGGGCAGCTTACCTTCCAAGGGGTAGGACTTGGCCAGCTGGGGGTGAGCCAGGCTCTCAGGACTGAAATCTAGGTCTGAGCCACCATCCCATGCCTCCTCCTGCTTTAGACTCCCACGTTAGAATTCCAGTGCAGCCAGCAGAGAGCGCCACTGTTCCTGGGTCACAACACCAGACGCTGACACATGCTTGGATCCCAAGCCAACCACCACATCTTGTGCCTCTGTTCCCGTGGTACAGGATCCATACTCCATGGAGCCCCTGCCCCTGCCTCTGATCGTCATCACAGCTCATCCCAGTTTACTGGGACCTTACGCTGTGCTCCCTAAGATCAAGGGCAGGTTTTCTCTGGGCTCACTGCACTGTGAAGGGTTCAAGGAGGTCTCTGAGGTCCCTGAGCTCAGAGATTATAATGCTAAGATTCTGTAGGTCCATCTGAGATGCCAGGAATTTTAAAAGCCTGTGATTCTGAGAGTGCTTTGTTCCCCAGCCTGTGGTTCTCGAAGCTCCATAAAAAGCCAATCTAAATCTGTGGCCTCCACAGCTCCTGCCCTGTCTCCTCACTGTGGTGGCTAGATGCTCCCAGACTGTTGTTGGGCAGGGCCCCATCTGCAGCTTGCTGTGGTTCGGGAGTCAGAGCTGGCAGTAAATAATAATTAGGTTCCCTTATAACCCGAAGGTGTGAGGGTGGGCTGTGTGTAGGCTGTGGCTCCCGGGGACCTGACCCTCTGGAGCTGCAGCCTGAGAGCTCCGAGTTGCCAGAACCACAGGAGGGACCGCCTCAGTCTCTTTATCCCTGATCCTTTCTCCTGGCTCAGGTAAACTGCTGCCCACCCTTACCACTCAGCCAGGCCGCGCAACCACATCCTCCCACGGAGAACTAGAGCAACCTCAGGCAACAAATTGGTCACTCTAAGTTTCACATGGGGGAATGGAGGAGGGTGGGGATTAGACCAAAGCCTCACAAAGAACTGGTAGTATAGGCAGGCCGGGCCCTCTGCAGGACGTTCCATTAATAGCCAGTGCTGCTTGGCCAAAAAGCGTATCCCCATTTGATCTGTCGAGTGGCATATGAAATGCTACTATACGAATTCCAGAACTTGGAACTGGGTACACTTACAAAGAAAACATTTGCAGGAAAAGGGTGGGTGTCCTGGGATGCTCTGGCCGCCTCACCAGATCCCCAGCATGAGTCCTTTCTGGGCTCCCTCTGTGGGCCTGAATGTGGGGTATGTGACCCTGGAGGGTCTCCAGTGACATACAAGGGGCTGAGGCCATGACACTTTCAGTGACCTGGAGCTCTTCCTGCCCTCCCCCCACAACCCAGGCAAGGCCTAGAGAAATGGAAACCCTTCTCCATCCCCTCCTCCCTCTGCAGGTGTTCAATTCTCCTGGAATCTCCCAGACCCAGGGGACTTGATCTTCCCTGCCCCCTCACCTCACAGCTCGGATTCTATGACTCAGTTTGGTTTGGATTCTTTACCTCCCCCAACAATCTATCGCCAATAGACTATTTATGTTCCTCCATCTCTGCCACAGCTGTGATTATTCTGATCCCAGCCAGGCCTCTGTCCCCAGCAGAAGGCCCTCCCTTCCCAACCTTGCTGCCCCGGGAGAGCTACCTGGGATCTTCTGAATGGCACTAAGTGGGGGGCACTCTGGACGCTGAGCTGCTGCCTGTGGTCCTGGCCCACTGCATCACACACCTTCTGGGGGCACGATTCACAGAACTGGGAACACAGTGTGGATGCTACCCTGGAGTCTCTAGTCACTGCCCTGCTGGGCACCCTAATGGCTGGCAATGGGAATCGGCAGGATGGGACAGCTTATGGTAAGGAAGGGAGAGCAGTGTGTTGCCTGTTCTGCTGAAAGGAAGGACTAACTAACCTGGCAGAGAGGGATGGGTGGAATGGAGACAGGAAATGTGTCCTGGAGGAAGGCGATTTGGACTGGGCCCTGAGGAATGTGCAGGAGTCCACCAGGTGGGCCTCTGTTACAGATTCATATTCACTAGGACTTCTGTCACCTTCTAGGTGGGGGTTTCTAGGGGCAGGCCTGGACTTCATTGACAAGACAAAGTGAAGTCATTCTCCTTGACTGCCAATTTCCAGGAGGGAACGAGACCCAGGAAGGGGCCCCGCTGGCACTGGTAATAGTGACGGAACCCCTAGTTGCATCTAAGTCTCCAGTCTATCTTGCATCGCTCAACCCCTTCTTTTTTGGTTGGACGCCCAGCCTCTTCCGCGCTGTTCCCTGCAGTTCCGGGGGATGTGAGAGGTGGCGACACAGAGCAGAGCGGCGGGGCGAGAGACCCAGAGCCCCTCCGCGGCCCCAGGGGAAGGGGGGGACGCGAGCCGCTGTCTGACGTCGGGGGCGGGGCCCGCGACTGTCACCCGTGGGGGTGGGGTTGTGCCGGCGAGGCAGACGATTCATTCAAAAGGCGCGCAGCCTGGCGGCTGCCGCTGCGCTCACAGAGGGGGGCCGGAGCCGCCTGGAGCTGAGGTGCTGGAGCTGCGGCGGGCTGCCAGGTAAGGAGGGCACACCGAGCCCCAGCCCGGGGTTCGCTACCCCGCGGCCGGGCCAGAGGGATGCGGACCCGAGTGGCGCCCACTGCCTCCCCTCGTCTGAGGAAGTTCAGCGGCGCGGCGGATGCCGCAGCCCCACGCCCCCCCGCCCCCGCGTCCTGTCCCGGAGTCTTCCGCGCCCCGGCTCCTGCCAGTCCCCGAGTCCCTCCCCGGGACCTCCGCGTCCTCCGGCCCGACTCCAGGCACAGTCGCGCGCAGTGTCGAGGCAGCGGCGGGACTTGCTGTGTGAGAAGCCGGCGGGCCCCGGAGATGCCCCTGGCCCGGGACCGGGTGCGGGGTGGTGCGGCTGCAGCGCGGGGCAGCCGAATGGGGGGAGTCCGAACGGTGTCAGCCCGTGACTGTGGGTGACACGGCGCCTGAGGCGGCCCAGCCCAGGCGAATGTGTGGTCCTGCCACTGGGCGGTGACGCGGGGCCGAGCGGGAGACACAGAGGGGCTCTGTGTTTGTGACAGGCAGAGTGTGTGTGTGTGTGTGAGAGTGACCCCGGACCACTGTGAGTGAGACCCCGCGTCACTGGGGTCACTGTGTGTGTGGCATAGGGTGTGACCAGAGCAGGCCCAGGGCCGCTCTTAGTGTGTGACATAGAGAGGAACCCCAGGTGACAGAGACCCGGCCGAGAATCACTGGAGACAAAGTGTGTTTGTGGGGTCAAGTAGTGTGTGTGTGTGTGTGTGTGTGTGTGTGTGTGTGCGCGCGCGCGTGTCTATGCCTCTGGGCAATGAGTAAGTGGAGGAAGGAGGAGGGACCTCAAAACCCTGCCGGCAGATGGGGGGTGCTCTGAGGGAGGAACAGGGAGCCAGGGGATAAGGGTCTCTCCAGGACTTTCCTCAAGAGGGCGCTGCTCAGGAGCTCAGTTTAGTGTGGTGGGTGGACCCTTAGTGATTTGCCCTGGTGGAGGGAGGGGGCCACGGCTGGGCCACATCTGGTGGGGCCACGCCTCTGGAGCACTTGGGAGGCCTTGAGGTAGCCCCAGAGTCCACCTCCCAACACACACACATGTCCTGGAGGCCTGGCAAAGCTCTGCTCCCCTGGTAACCTGTGTTCTCACTGGGCCCGGGCACCATCTCGCTCTGACTCTGCCCGCCCTGGGCCTCAGTCTCCCCATCTGCACACCGAGGTGTCAAGCTGTGAGTGGACCATGCATCATCACTTCGGGATCCTCTGTTGTTTTGGGGTTCACCGCCTCTGTTCTCCCTTTCCTCTCCTCAGGCAGAAAAACTGCAGTTGGGGGTGGGGTAGGCTGTCTGCTGTGGACACTGTGGCCCAGGGGCTACACCCAGGTAGGTGCTGATGACAGAGGGGCTGACTTCTCTGGCCCAGGTCTCCTTCCTTCCTCTCTCTGCGCACCAGCAGGGAGGGCGTGGACTTGTCCCCGTGAGTGTGGTCTCTGATATGGAGCCTGGCGCAGGGGCCCTTCAGCATTTGGGCTAGGCCGGTGGGAGGTGCCCACTGCCACGGTTAGGTTCATGCAGGGTCCAGGCCAGGAGGGGTGAGGGAGCCCCCGCTGAAGGATCTGGAAGTTCCGTCCTCCACTGATAGTCTCTGAAAATGTGGACTGCGTTCTGCCGGGGGCGAGGGTGGGAGGACAGGCATATGCAGCACTTAAGGCACACCCTCGTCGAATCCGCACAGTGGTTCTGAGAGTGTGAGTGTTTCAGAGAGGGAAACTGAGGCTCAGTGAAGCAAGTGACTTGCCCAAGGTCACGTAGAGTCAGGACAGTGCCGGCACTGGAATTCGGGTCTTCTGGCCCTGAAGCCCTGTGAGATGCTTGGAGAGGGCCGCCCACCTTCCCAACACAAGCAAACCTCGGACACATTCCGGGTTTGGCTCCGGCCTGCCGTGATCAAGCCAGTATCGCAGTGAAGCGAGCCCGGATGCTTTTGCTGGTGAAGGGTCTCGCTCTCAGTTTGTGAGAAACACAGCACCTGTACAGCACAGTGAAACGAGGTATGCCTGGAGCTGCTCACGGCTTAGCTGGGTTTCCTTCTCTCCAACCCAGGCCAGCAAGCGTGGCCTTGCCAGCGTGTGCCGTTGTGAGTTCTGAGTGTTGTGTGCATCTGCACACATGTCTGAAACTGGGTTCTGTGGTCTTCCCGCTCTTCCTCCTCCTCCTTCTCCTCTTCTCTCCCCGCCCCAACTCCCACCCCTAATCAGAGGTCACCAGAAAGACCTGTATCTTGCCTTCTAGAGCCTGCGGTTGGTTTTGGGACCAGGCCACATAGCTCTGGAGAGTGTCGGCGGGCGGCAACACGGCCCAGGCCACCGGGGTGGTGAGGATGACTGAGAGTCCCCGTTGACCTTCACCATACCTAGGAGGCCCTGTCCCCCTCTCCAGAGTTGCCCTGCGGTCCCTCTCCCAAGTCCACCCTCACCCTGTGGCGGGGAGCAGGCGGGGAGTGACGTTGAGCTTGTGCCCCGCCCTCTCGGGGCCTGGCCTCCCTGTTTTCCCCTGAGGCCCCTGCTGGCTCTGACCGCTGCTGCTGCCTGGCCGAGTGCTGGAGCTGGGGCTCAGGGTGTCCCTCCGTCCTCTCTGGAATGGCTGGAGCTGTGCTTCGCGGGCCTGATCAGAATAGCTGTCTTGGTCTCCTGGGGCTGAGCCTGAGTTATTTCCATCCCCAGCTCAGAGGTGGAAATAGCTCAGGGCCTGGGAGGGGGGAGATGGGAAGGGTTAACCAAGGGTTAATCTCCTTTCCCTGTGTCAGCCCTGGGAGGCCCCCCGGCCCATCCCTGCCTGTGCCCTGCCCAAGCCAAACCTTTCTGGGAACTGGGTCTCCTGGGATGATAGGAATGACAGTGGGCCGGGCTGGGTTTGCATGTGCGGCCCCACCTGGGCCTGGTGTGATAGCTGGTGGAGGCTGGTGTCTGTCTGGCTGAGGGCGCGGAGGGGCAGGGAGCACCCTGCCCCTGCTCGTGGGCCCAGCCCCACGTTACAGAGGCAGAGACTGAGGGTCGGAGAAGCAAAAGACTTAGCCGAGAACCCCAGAACCCTGATGCTCTGGCTCTCCCCTCCAGCCAGGGCACCTCTGCCGGGTCCCCCACGTGTTCCCAGGCGCAGCCCGGACGCACCTTCACAAGACCAGGGCTCCCTCTCATGTCCCAGCTCTGGCCTCTCTGCCCCCACTTCCAGTTCCCCCACACCCTCCCACAGCAACTGTCTCTGCCTCTAAAGTATCTCCTGCTCGCCACACCCCAGCATCGGGTCTTTCCCTCTCAAGACGCTTCTGAACTTTACATCTTCACCCTCACCTCTCCCTGCAGGATGCTGGCTCCACTCTGCCTTTGCTTTCGCTGTCCGTTCTTGCTAGAACCCTGCTGGCCATTCAGGGTGCAGCCCCAGCCCCACTCACCCAGGAAGCCCTCCCCGCCCAATGTGAGCCCCTCTGCATCGTTGCAGTCCACCTGCCAGGTGTCCCCCCCACCTCTGGGAACCGCCTGCCTGCTCCTGCTGCCCTGTCTGTCCCTGTGTGCTGGGGTGCACAAGGGGGTTTGCAGGGTCTCTGTGCGGGGCCTGGGGTGAAGACTCAAGGCCACGCGGTGGGCAGGGCGAGTTTGGGGCTTGCCCTGGGTCTTCCTCAGGCACGGCCCTCACTCTGGGCCAGCCCAGGACACTCCCAGCAGAGCCCTGCTGTGCGCCAGGCCCCGGGCACAGGGATCCTCGAGCAGCGCTGATGCGGACCCCTGCCCCTTCCCACGCTGCTTACTGGGAGCTGAGACTCAGAGAGGAGAGGGGACCTGCCCTAGATGGAGGCACATGGCCACCGGTGCCAGAGCCTGGCGCTCAGGCTCACACCCAGACCCCAGGTGAGGGCTGTCCTACCGACCATCCGTCCGAGAGGGCGCAGGCCGGCTGCCTGCGGCGGGGGAGGAAATGATGGAGGGGCTGTTCAGCGCTGGGCCTGGCTGGGTGCGGCCAGGCGCCCTCTGCCACGGGGCTGGCCCTCGTCCCAGCATCACCCGGGACCTGTCCAGCCCCGCTCCCACTCGGTGCTGGGACTCGGGACGCACGGTGGCACACCCTGGTGGGCCGTGCTTGCTCGCCTGGGCGCTGGGACGTGGTCTCTGGTAGAACTTAGCGCCCTCTCTGTGCTGAGCCCTTGGGTGCCAGGGCCTAGGTTTGGTGCCATCAGCTGGGACTAGGGCGGCAGGGAAGAAAAGAGGCAGCCGATGCTGTGTCCCCACTGTGTGTCCAGCCCCAGGGTGAGGACCTGAGGCTCTCACCTGTTCAGCCTTCTGCCCAGAGGGCCCGCAGTCCCTCCAGGTCCAGGCTGGGAAAGAAGGCCCGGAGAGGAAGGGGCTGGCACGAGCCTGGTGCCACTGGGATCCTAACCCAGGTCTGTCCGCCTGGAAGGCCAGAGCTCTTCCCTGGGCCACCCTGGGAAAGATGAGAGCTCTATAAATAAACTGCCCATGTGGCCCTGAGTGTGTGCCCTGGCTACTTGGCACAGACGGGAAGCGGTGGAGGGGCCTCGGCAGCCAATCGGAGGCGGGGTCTGAGTGGGGGGGGCATCCAGGAGGAGGGACATGCGCTGGGACCTGCACACCCTCACTGTGCAGAGGAGCAGGGAGCTCGGGGACGGGCCTGGGCCCCCCAGCCCCTGGCCCTGCAGCGGACCCAGCTTCCTGCATGTGCCCCCCTGCCTCCCTCCCCTGGGGGCGACCACAGACAACGATGGCCCATGGGGCCAGGGGAGGGGACGGTCCACCTGACAAGGAGGACTTCCTGCAGGAGGTGGTTCTCAGGCTGAGGCCTGATTGTAAAAAGAGCCACTGTTCCCCTGTGAGCTCTGGATCCTCCATGCACGCCAGGAGGTCAGCTGAGCAGGCACCATTGCCCAAAATTACAGAGGAGGAAACTGAGGCTCGGAGACGTGGGGCTGGGTGCCGACCACTCAGCACCCCTCCCTAACCTGCCTGTGACTCAGCTGGCCTGGGAGCAGATGGCCACAAGCCCATATGGGGCTGAGAAATGGACACCCAGGATCTTCCTGGGAAGGCCCAGGCTCCTCCCCCCATGCCACTGGGACTGACCTTGGGTCCCCCGAAGCACCCCTGCCCACTCCCAAGCCCCTGGGTGACCTTGGCTGGACACCGATCCATTCTCAGCCCGGCTCCTCGTGGGCTGTGGTAAGGACCAGTCCTCGGGAGAGGCCTGGCCCGCCCCCAGCCGGCACTGTTTGTTTACAGTGGCTCCGCTTACCCCTCAGCGCCCCCAGAGGCAGGGACAAGCACCTCTGTCTGCAGGGGAGGACTCCGAAGCCCAGGGAGGTGAGTGATTTGCTCAGGGTCACAGAACTGCTAGTGACGAGCCACAGCTGAACCCAGGTGTGACTGCCCCGGAGCCTGGCACCCGCCCCTCCTGCCCTCAGGCTGACCCCAGACCTCAGGCTCTGTTGGTGAGGGGTAGCTCGGGGGTGTGGTTGGGGGTCGCTCGGGGCTGGGGGGGAAGGTGTCCGCCCCAGCACACTAGGTCTGGAGGGGACGGAGCACGGGGCAGGCCGGGGCTGCCGTCTGCCCTGTCTCTCGCTAATCCTCAGCCAGGTCAGCCCGGTTCGAGTGACAGAGCAAGGCCTGTGCTGAGCAGGCTCTGGGTCGCCCTGGCACCTTAGTGACGCGTCCCCAGCTGTGTGGCCGAGGCAAAGGTGGCTTCTCAGAGGAGGAGGAAGCAACAGCACAGGTGGGAGGGCAGTGAGGTACCGTCTGGGCCTCCCAGGCCCCTTGCCATCCTGTCATGGGGGCCAAGGGAGACAGCCCAGGGCGGCCCAGCCCCCTGTCTGGCCGGAGCAGGAAGCCCACTGCGCTGAGGGGTGGGGGGGGTGGGAGAGCAGGGGTGTAGGCGCTGGGCGCTGCCAGGCCTGGGGGCAGGGGCCGGCTGCCCACTCCCCTCCGGCTGGGCCGACCTTGTGGCCTCCGGCAGCGAGATGTTACAGAGCACCACTCAGCCTCTCTGAGCCTCAGTGTCCTCACTGTGAAGCCTGGGGCCCTGCCTGTGAGGGGCCAGTGAACCGGCCTGGGAAGGGAAGGAGGTATGCAGTAAGCGCTCAGTGAGGCTGGTGGGGAGTCCCAGCGCTGTCCGAGACAGCTGTCTGGTTGTAGACCATGCTCCCGGAGCCCCTGACTCAGCCCGGAGAAGGGGCAGGGGTCGATCTGCACGGCCCCCAGACCGGGACAAGCTGGCTAGGCCCGTCTGGCTGCCTCAGCCCTTTTCGGAGCCTCAGAACCACGTAGTCCCTCAGCCTCACCCACCCACCGCACCCCGCTGAGGGGAAACCGTGCCCAGCC